ATATATATATATATACAAACGCATATTCCAGCTGTTTGCCGCCACCCCCGGTTTTCTTTTTGATCGTCATACACCCACCCCCCGTACAACGGCTGTCTATCGTGCCCGTTGAAACGTTATAAGCGCCGTCGATGCCTCCTTTTTGTTATTCGCCGTTGTTGCTCGTTCCTTTGCTTTTTATTTTTCATCGCGCGCACACCCGTGCCCGTGGCTGCGAAAAAGCTCGTGTTTATTAAAACGAAAGGACACGCGTGTCCTACGGAGCATGACGCGTCGTAATACACCACGCGGATTTCACGGCAAATGACACGCTCGATCGAATCCGCGTCAAAACACCCGTCTGTGGCGAAATTGCACCAAGATAACAAAATCGCCCAAGTATTTTTTGGGGTGTACACATTGTTCATCCTGACATTACCTGAAACGCATTTCCTCGGATGGGGGGGTATACACCTACCACCTATATAAATATACCCTACTCTGGGAGAGCTTGGAAAAGAAAAGGTATAATTAGTGGGGGGTCCATCGGGATAGTTAGTATTGTCAGTGATGGAAACGAAGGGGGGGGGGAGTGTAGCGTGGCTCAATCCATTAAACCCGGACGGGCTGTGTACTTCGGCTAATGACACGCGAAAAACGTCGAGCAGAGAGCTACGTTGTACCGCGGGTCACGGGGTACGGATGCGCTGACGCATGCACCCGCAGGTTCATCCAAAAGGGGCCTCTTGTTTAATGAACAACGGCATCGCCAACGAAAATCCGAGGCCCTTTCCCTACCCGTTGATTAACTTGGATCCAAACGAGCTTTCCTCGATGGACGGTACGATAAGTGCATTTTTCCCCGCCATAGAAACTTGGGTGTATTTAACGGCCTCTCTCTCTCTCTAGTCTGCGTCGGCATGCAGTTCCTTTTTTCCATGGCTCCCTGTTTTTTCTCACCCCCCGACCCACCGGGTGGCGCCGTCGCGTATGCTAAAACGAGCAAGGGAGAAAAAGACTGCGTTATAGGTGCAGCGAGCGTATAGGTGTGCGCGAGCCACCGGGGCGAGACGGACGTGGGTGGGTGGGGAAACAAGAAAAATCTTTCGGGTTAATCGAAAGTCGATCGACCGCGCGACAAGTCCGCGGATGCTCGCATTGTCCGCGCGTCGCGGCGATTGGAGTGGAGGCGATTGAAATCTTTCTCTCTGGTGGCGGGTGCGCCAAACCCCCCCCCCATCCCTGTGCCACCTCCCCGAGTGCGTTCCATTATACCTGTTTATTGCGTTCGCGCAAACGAACCACCCTCCCCCGCCCCCCTCGTAGGTGACGCGTTGTTGTGCCCCCGCGTACCTATACGCGCTGCGTTGTATTTTTTTTTTTTCGCTTTGTTTCGTGTCGTATACTTTCTCCCTCGCACGCGTGGAGAGGCTGTGCAAAAAAAAAAAAAAAAAAAACACAATCCGCGGTTTGTCGGTGCTGATGACGCGTCCGCGACACCGCGTTAATGTATTTTGTTTAATTGACCGATGCGTTTGTTTGGTCGAGGAGTGAAAGCACCCGCGTCGGGGGCTATTGTCTATGATTTATCGCGAGAGTATATCCATCATACGAGAATCGACGCGTCTTGCAACATCCCAGCGAAAACAGTTTTGATTTACAAAGTCAATCGACTCGTCGATCGAGTGCAATGAACCTATACACATTGGTTTTACACTTATTTCTTTAATTATGTATAAAGTCGTGCGTAAGTCGTTGACCGTAAAATTTACAAACTCTCGTGCACGAGTTGAAGGTTTTACTCGTAAGTATATAGTCATGGTCGATATATTTATGACAAATAGGTTCAAGTAAAAAGTGCGTTATTCCAGTATATTTTCATCCCTCCGCAGGAAGCCCGAAAATTTCTGAAGTGCATTATCTAGAATGCGTGGAGTAAAAAAAAAAATAAAATAAAATAAAACAAAATAAAACAGAGGCCGTGTCGGCGATGCAGCAGCCAGCCCGGCTGCAGGATTCGATGACTTCCTGGCATCATTTTTCAAAATGTCGGCCCCTATTGCCTCGGGGTACCCAGAAAATAACAGCGAGGCACTATAGCTGCAGCAATAGATGCGTGCATGTGCGCGTGCAGCCGAGAGACGGACAAGCGGGGGTTGGGGGTTTTGAAAAAGGGGTGGTATGGGTTAGCGGTGGTGGTCAAGCCCGAGCGTAGGGTGGCAAGATGGCGTCGCATGGTAAATCGATGGAGGCTAGTCACTGCAGGCGCCCTCGGATCTCTTTCTCTCTCTCTCTCTCTCTCTTGCACCCCTGTCTGCAGCCAGCGCTTACTATAACGCTACTATCGTACCTATACGTATATACTCTCTGTTTCTCGCTTTCTCTCTTTCGCGCTAACTCGGGGTGGTATGGTAGCAACCCTCTCGAAAGCACACCCAACCTTCATATGCAAGCGCTAGCTGGCCGGCTCGGTCTGTAGCTAACGTGCATCATATATACATATATATTTCGGCTGCCGGTGCAGCAGCTCTCTTTCCCTCCGTATATACACCCATGCACACACTCTTATTATGTAGTCTCGCCCTAGCTCCCTCTCCGCTGCGTCCTCCCCCTATCTATGCCGAAAGGCCCTCATTTTCGAACGTGCATCCCCCCAGCCCTCTTCCGCTACCTTCACCGAAGGAGGGAATGAGAGAGACACAGAGAAAGAGAGAGGAGGTGGCCTTATATATGTATATACAGAGGACTTTCCTGCAAGCCGTAATTCGACGATGAAGAAGAGAAAGGGGGGTGGATGTGATCGTGCGTGAGCTTTCTAATGCAGCGTGTGCCACTTCATACTTACACTGCATAGAAATTATTTTGGAAAAACTGTGGTAAACACCTTTTTTAAATTTTTTTTTTTTTACATCTAGTAGCAAATGAAA